TTTTCTTCATTCATGGATTTGGTCATGTTATTCCATTGTTCAGAAATTTTTAGTGACTTTCAGTCACATAATGTGTATCATTAAAAATCCTCTGCCTGGCATTCAAGGTCCTCCACAACCTGAATCCTTGCTCTATGTTTCCAGATTTGTCCCTTATTACTTCCTTCAATACACATTTCCACATCCAAGATGTATGAATATTTGCTCCCATACATGTGCATCACTCTCAGACTTCAATGCTTTTATTCAAGTTAGTAGTTCCATATCTCCCTTATTTTTAGCATGTCTTCCCTTCCTTCACTAATGAAAATACAACAATAATTAAAATAAAATACAATAAATGCTACCTTGTTCAGGCATTCCCCCCCAACACCCCAACTTGATAATGACTTTCTTCTGCGGACTTCAAACAGCTCTTTATTTCAATGCTTTATAACTTGAGGTGTAATATTGCCCATCGTAACTCTCTGTGCTGAGTGTCTTCATCCTTTACTAGACTGTGAGCTTCTTGATGCAAGGACTGCTTTTTATTTAAACTTTGTACCTCCCTTAGCACAAAGCACTGGTCTCTGTACACAGGAGGTGTTTAAAAAATAACCTTTAATTTACTTGAATTGAACATTAGGTTTGTCATCTCTTCTAGACAGCACGACAGCATGGAAAATGCAATTTATTTCTACTAAGTGAGCATTTCTCCTAAGCTATATTCTTATGTTAGTGTTTAGTGTTATGTTAGTGTTTATTTTCTCTCATATTACCATGAAAAATCCTGAAACTAGCCTCTTTTCTAATAAGAGGTTATATTTTCAGTGACTTAAAACTATTTATATAAACGCTATTATGAATGTAAAGGTATTCCCCATCTCAGCTCCATCTATTATAAATTTAAATTTTAATTAGGCATCAATAATATTGGCATATGTATGTGTGCCAACTGTTTTTAATGAACACATCATGAACAATTTAAGCATTGATAGAATGTAGATGATTATTATGAGAGTCATCCCAGTAAAAATTAGACCACAAATCCTGGACCTAGAATGAGGAGACCTCGATTTAAGTCCTAGCTTCTACACTTACTATGTACCTTTAGGAAAATTACTTAAACTTTTTTTTTTATTAATTTCAATTTCTTTATCTATCTACATTTATTAACTTTATATTTATATTGCATATATTTGATAGCTAACATTTATATAGTGCTTATTAAGTGCCACGCACTGTTCTAAGTGCTGTATAATTGTTATTTCATTTGATCCACACAACAACCCTGGGAGGTAGGTGATATTTTTATTTCCATTGTACAGATAAGAAAATTGAGGCAAATAGAATTTAAGTGACTTGCACAGGGTCACACAGCTAAGTAACTGAGGTCAGACTTGAATTTGGGTCTTCCTACCTCCAGGACCAGTACTCTATCCACTGCACCACCTAGGTGTACATATGCTTAGTATTTCTTTCAGTATAAGTTCTTTGTGGATAAGTAAGTATTGCTTTATATTTTATATTTGTATCCCCAGTGCATAGCAAAGTGTCTGGCACAAAATAGGCACTCAGTAAACATCTGTTGATGTACAAGATATATAACAAAAACCAGCAGTAGCATATTTCCACTATTTCCCCTAAAATTTTTCATAAAAAAACAGGAGACTTTTGAAATTATTTATTTTAAATTGTCGTAGAGAGGAGCTAAGGAAAATAGCAGGAAACATAACACTTTATAGCTCTTAACTGCCTTGCGAACAGTAGATATTTAATGAATGCCTCTTGAATTTTGATCATTACGTCTAGATCATAAGAGGAATGTTGGTATAGTGGATAGTGAGCTGGTCTTTCAGTCAGGAACCTCTGGTTCAAGTACCATCTATGACACCCGGACTGATCCTGAAGGTATCAACAGGCCACTCCTTAAGACACTGAGTTGCAGAAGTGTGGCTGATTGTCATTAATATGGGACACTAAACTAGGGCCAATTTTTTTTTTTTAAGAAGGGGTAAAAAGTGAAATTAAGATAAACTTCAAAAACACTATGCACCATCACGTTCCTAAACTTCAATGCCCTTGTAATCTGTGATTGCTTATTTTTGAAAGGATTGTCAGTGAGGCTGGTTGTGATAGACATATTTTTTAACCAGGTCAAAAGAAGTTGAACATGTGTCTGAACTTGTTGCAACAAATATTCTTCCTTTTTTCATGCTTGATTTTACCTTCAAGGTCAAAGCAATGTAATACAAATGTTTGACTGTTTACAAGTGTATCTGTATGTACCAATTGGATTACCCAGGACATTGTAACATTTTTTTTTAAACATGTACCTATAATTTATATGGTTTATACAAATAGATGATACAGACTCTGAACTTGAAACATAATCTTGACCAAGTAATAAGAAGCCATTATAGTTAGGAGCTAACCTTATGAGATCGATTTTTTTAATTGGTTGAAATTTTATCATTGTGGGAAACTTTTGGTGTAGAAACACTCCCCACTGATGCAGAAGGACAATTTATTTATTGTCCTATTACAAAGAGTTGCTGGGACATTGAGAGATTACGGGACATTGAGAGATATGTCTATAGAAAACAGAAGGCTTCCAGTCCTCCATCTGTTATGTCACTTTTGAACTAGATATAGCAATATAATTTTTATTTTGTTTTGTTGTGTTCTTGGAGGCAATTAGGGTTAAGTGACTTGCCCAAGATCACATAGCTAGTAAGTGTCTGAGGCTGGATTTGAACTCAGGTCCTCCTGACTTCAAGGCTAGTACTCTATCCACAGGCCCACCTAGCTGCCCCTAGATATTGCAATATAATTTCAAAAATTATTAATTGCACACCATTCATTAAATAATATGCTAGCTATTAGGTAGGTATACAAAAGACAAAAATGAAGCAGTCCTGGACCTAGAGGAGCTAATCTACATAAAGATTATTTGTGCAGAGGATATGTGGTTGAATGGAAGCAAGAACATAAAATTTGGAATCAGAGGAACTGCACTGAATTCTGCCTCTATTAACTATAACACTTTGAGCAAATTACTTACACTCTCTTGGCTTTGGTTTCCTGAACCAAAATATTAGTGGGGTTGCATTAGGTGACTGCTAGGATAACTTCTAGTTGTAAATCCTAATATTTTATGAAAGCTTCTTGAGAGCAGGGACAGATGTTTTGCCATTCCTTGTAACCTCAGAACTTAGCACAGAGCTTGTCTCCTTTGCAGGAGACACTTAAAAAATGCTTGTTGTCTGACTGTGAGTGAAGGACAAACTACTGATGTGTGCTAATTTGATAAAATACAATAAAGGAAAATTCCAAACTTACAAAATAGAGACAAAGGGGAGTGATATTTCCTATTCCAAAAGGATTCTTAATTTACAATTAATAATAATAATGATAATTGCAACATTTCTTTCAATTGTGACCTAACCTGGAACATGAGTTTTTTTTATTTACAATCATTTGACTTTATACTACCTTTTCAGGAATACATCTATGACTTTAAGAGAGATTTGTCTGTGTTTTTCTTCTTTATGTATGCATTTTCTATTTTAGATCGTCATTACTGAAAGATTAGTGGCCTTTGCCTATAAAACTCTGTTATGCATCTGACATACATAGGATTAATCAGGCTCTTTTGATGGTAATGATATACAATATGTTGAAGCTCCCTGTATGTTGGTATAGTTTAATCAGCTTCCCAGAGAAAAATCAAAGAATGACATTTATAGAAAAGAGTGGGTGTTATACTTTAGCAGTAATAGATCCTACTCTATCTCTTGGAGAGAATAAGAGACAGCTGATGAAAATAGCCAAATTTATCTTTTTCATTATACAAAGTAAGCACAATGGTGCTAGATATAGGACAATAACTAATGGGAATGGTAGGATCAAGTGAGTTGGTTTTTTTTTGTGGTGGCTGAGAATTGGGAATGCTTGTAGGCAGCAAGGAAAGAAATAATAGAGAGGAAGAGAGAGAAGAAAAGTGGGAGTAGATAGAGGAGAGTGGGGTCAAGTTTCTGGAGAAACTAATAGATAGGGCCACATTTTCTTCTGAGACCAGAGTGAAGGAAGAAATGGAAGAGAGCCAGGTAAAAATGGAAAACAGAGCAGATTTCAATTTGTTGGCCTGGAGAGTAAATGAAGGAGAGGAATATGAGATGAAACTGTACAGGTAACTTTGGGCAAAATGGTAGGAAACCTTCAGCCACAGGCAGCTTATACTTTATTTGGAATGCAATAAGGAATCACTATAATTTAATTTGTAGGTTAGAAAAATGGCTGATTACTTAGATAGCATTATGGAGGAGGACTGGAGGGGTCAGAGATTGGAAGCTACTAGGAGAGATGAAGGTTTAAACAAAGTTGAGAACACTGATTATCCATGTTACTTAGCACTTCATTATGTATTCTCCTCTATGGTCATTTGCCTTTTCTCTTATTTGTGGCCTGGACTTCCAATCAGAATATGAACTCAAATTCTCCAGGGTAGGTTTTTTTATAGCTTCCCCATTCCAACCCTAGGCAAGTAGCAAAATATCCTAATGTGCTATGGTTAGTCATTGGTGCTGGTGTTGAGTGAATGATCAGTCTTCTGGTTGGCTAAGGAAATGAAGGGACTGAAAATTCATGCTCAGAGCCATAACTGAGTTTGAATATAAAAGAATCAATGTGCCCTTGGCTTAGTGCTTTTGTATTTTTCCTTCCTGGTGATTGAGGTGATCCAGGCATGAACTGCTATGAGCCACTGAATGGAGGAAGGGCAGCAGCTGCCCTTTCACCTAGTATTCATGTGCCCACATAAACACATGGCACTTTTGTTCCCCTTTATGTGTTTTTCTTTTTTTCTTCCCTTGATCTTAGGTGAACAAGTCTTCTGAGAGGGGTATACAAGTGATTGGTGGGACCTGGAAATGTAACACAACCATTAAGGGTTGGGCTGCTCAGAGTCAGTAGCAAAAGCAGCAGCCAAGTCTGGTAAGGATTGGGAAGCACAACAGGCAAACTGTTTGACCCAGTCATGTCCTGTCATAAACTATTATGCAACCAAGGGGAGGGCCTTGTCCTTTGCAGATGCCTTATGCCTACGTGAATTTGGTTGAAACTGTGGGAAAGAAGAAAAGAAGTAACGAAGACAGGAGTCACAAGGTAGGTACCCCTTCCACTCCACATGTTCCCAACATGTGTGTCTTGTTACCTTTTTACTTTAAGTTGAGTCTGCTCACTCTCCTTAATGACTTTCTATAAGGGGAGAGTGAACCTCTTGGTTTAGTGGATTGTTTTCTAACTGCTGTTCTTGCTATACATTTTCAGCAATTTGTTCTTGTTTAGTTGTTGGTCAGTTGTGTCCAACTCTCTATGATCCCATTTGGGATTTTCTTGGCAAAGATAGTGGATTGATTTGCCATTTCCTTTCCCAGCTCATTTTACAGATGAGGAAACTAAGGCAAACAGGGTTAAGTGACTTGCCCAGGGTCATACAGTTAGTCAATATCTAATGCCAGATTTAAACTCAGGAGGATGAGTCTTCCTGACTCCAGGTCCAGTGTTATATCCACTTAGCCACATTGCTTGATCATTATTGGGGGCAGACAGAATCGGGGCTTGTAAGTGATAATATTAGAAGCAGCAACTTCTCAGGGTTAACTGGAACACTGAAAGAAAAAATAGTATTCTTTCCACCAGGAACTTAACTTGCCAATGCAGTGATAGTTTGAAGGCCAGAGGGGTTGCTACAGAATTTTAGAGATGTAAAGGCTAATTAGAGACTATTTAATTCTCCTCCATATTTTATAGATGAAAAAACTGAGGCCTGAGAGATGAAGACCAGATAATAAATAATAAGCACTAGATAAATATATATTGAATAAAGGAATTAAGGTTTAGCATGACTCATGAAAAGTAATGCAGAGTAAGTATCATTCCAAGGTGGGTGGGGAGCAAGAGTTATGAATAAAGGAATATATGGCCTTCCAAAAGAAAGAGATCAGAAAGTGTTAAGTTTATTTGAGATGACTAGTAATACAAAAAGAGGAATCTGGCTCATTTCTTCTGAGTGTGTCTTAGAGTATAAAAAATAAGCTGCTGATGTACCTGAGTCTTGTTTCCGACTATTGGTCAAGGAGGTATCACTGGCCTCCTTTCTGTTCTTTCAACATAAACTACATCTCACTAACTGTGAGTATTTTCTCTGGCTGTCCCCCATGTGTAGATCATTCTTCCCTATTTCTATCTCTTGGCTTTCCTGACTTCTTTCATATTTTCTCTAAAGTTCTCCCTTCTGCAAGAAGTCTTTCCCAATCCTTCCTAATATTAGTGCCTTCCCTCTGACACTTTCCTCAATTTATTAGATATAATATGCATAAATATATACATATATAATCTTATTTGTACATAGAAATAATAGCTAGCATTTATATAGCACTTTAGGATTTATTTCATAGTTGAGGAAACTGAGGTTAAGTGACTTGTCCAGGATCATACGACTATTAAGTGTATGAGACTGGATTTGAACTCAGTTTGTCTTGTTTCCTGATCCATTGCTCTATCATCTCACCACCCACCTTCTCTAACATTGACTCTACATAGTTGCCTACATATTGTCTCTCTCATAAAATTGTGATCTTCAGAACAGGTACTTTTTTTTTATCTATCTTTATGTAACTGAGGCTTAGCTCAGTGTCTAGCACTTAATAGATGTTTAATAAATGCTAGTACATTGATTGATTGACTCTGTCCCTCTGTGTGCTTGGTTTGCTGGCCTCTCACTTCTTTCTGGTGTCCACATGTTCAGGAAGGAGCAAGGGGAAGAAAAAGAAGTCCAATCCCCCCAAAATGTATTTCCTAATCTTATATGTCAACATGCTTCTTTTAGGAAAATGGTACCAGGAACAAAGACAGAGTTCTAGGGATATTCATCTTCCATAAAATGAACAAATAAATGAAAAAAGCTAATCTTTTTCATGCCTTGGAAACTACTTCTTGTTCATTTAAAATGTTTGTGTTGTTTTGTGTTTTCTAAAATGGAACTTAATTTCCAGTTCAATGAGGTGCCAGTGGAGGGTCTGATCTCTTAAAGAGGTAGCTTAGTCTACTAGCTTACCAAGTGAGATTGCAGCAGCAGTGGCCCCAGGGCTAGGCAGGCCAGGTCTGGTTTTCCTGTTATCAGCAAAGTTAATTAATTAGGAAGACTGCTATAAAGCTCACTCTCAGCATAATTTGGCAGACTTCTTTTTTAAAGTTTCTCCCCATCTGAAAGTTTCCTTTTTCCATTTCTATTTTGAATCATTTCCAAGTGAACTTTCCAATTCATTAAATCCTAGGTGTAAACAGAAGCAAGAGGAAAAGTTAGTGAAAATGAAACTGCTGATCTTCTTCCAGTTTTGCCATCAAGATGTCCCCAGGTCAGCCTTGAAAGCTTACATGAAGTTGTAGTCTTATGATTACTGAGGTGTATCAGTGTAATTGCACCAAAGCCTATCAGAAAAATCAAAGATTACAGCACGGAACTCCAAAGCCTACCACAAGATATCAAAATAGTAGCCAGCAGAAGATATTGCTTTCCAGCAGAATGCATTTGGTTTGCAAAGTGTGTAAAATATTGTCACCCTCTTGCATCATTTTCCGATATTATATTCAACTATTTTCTGAAATGGTTAGGAGCTCCTTAAAATGAGGTAATCACCAGCCCTTGAGCTGTACCTCATAAAAAAAAGTCTATAGAAGGAATGTTTTTCAAAGGACAGAATACAAATAAATCTACTGTGTCCCACATATCACCAAACAATTGATATTTTCAGCTTCCTAATGCTTATCATCATCATGCAAGGCAGAAGATATGCGACTCAAAGTCCATTCTATTATGTATCCGAATGAGCAACTGTAATCATCATGTCAAGCTTCTGAAATGAATAATACATTTACAGGCAATTATAGAAGTAAATACCCCCTTTGTAGAACTTGATTTGTATTCATGAATAGCATGACTAGTCCTGTTATTTCACTGGTGTAGGGACTGATGAGGAAATTCTACCAATACCACTTTCTTTCTGTAGGTACTCTGAAATTTATGATATTGGAAAGATGCCTGAGGCACTAAGAGGCCTGCCCAGATTCACAGAGCCAGGATATGTCAGAGGTAGAACTTGAACCCTGGTTTTGCTGATTCTGAGACCATCTTTCTCCCCACTATAGCACACCACCTCTCATATAAAATATAAACAATCAACACAAAGTAATTTTGAGGGGAGAAGTACTAGCAACTGCTGCTGTTCAGTTATTTTAGTCATGTCTGTCTGACTCTTCACAACCCCATTTGTTCCTGACAAAGATATTGGAGTGATTTGTCAATTCCTTCTCCAGCTCATTTTATAGATGAGGAAACTGAGGCAAAAAGGGTTAAGTACTTTCTCAGGGTCATTCCTCTAGTAAGTGTCTGAGGCTGCATTTGAACTCAGGTCTTCCTGTCTCAAGGCTCTTTCCATTGTGTCACCTAAGAAAGGATTTATGTTGGATGTGGCACTAGAGTTTTGAAGGAAATTAGGGATTTTAAAATGAGGAGGATGTGCATTTCAATCATAGAGGGCAGCCAGTGCAATGGTCCAGAGATTAGAAATGAAGAGTCTTGTTTGAGGAACTGCAAGGAGGAAAATTTGGCTGGACCAGATAGTGTATGAAGGGAAATACTGAAAAATATAGCCAGAAAGGTGAACCTAGAGGTAATAGGAAGCCCCTGGAACTTATTGGGTAGAGTAGGTAGATACAGCTCAAGGGCTGGTGATTATCTCATTTCAAGGAGCTGCTAGCCATTTCAGAAAATTGTTGAATATAAAATCAGAAAACGATATAAGAATGTGCCAATATTTTACATACTTTGCAAACTAAAGGTATCATTACGCCATGGGGAGACCAGTACTTCATCTGTCAGCTTGATCTCAGCTGTTCATCTAAATTATCTTGACTAAACTAATTCACAATAAAATGTAAATGCCTGCCATCTGAATTTGTTTTTTAAAATAGAGACTTCTTAAATTCTGTGAATTTCTTATTCTTAAACTGTGTAGTCATAGAGACTGTGATTTCATTGATATAGGGAACACCAAAGTGAGGACCTAGAATATAGGTGTCAAATACACACAATGGGCCTGTGGCCCACAATTCTTCCAATGTTGCCAGATTAAATCAGATTAACCAATTAAAACATAATTGGGTAATATTTAACAAAATAAATAAAAATACAATAAAAAATAGAAAGATGGAATTTTAAATTAAGTCAACATAACAGCTGGCAGGGATCCTTATGTATGGTTTAGTGCCACTGTTGAGGTTTAGGGGTGCTAGGACCCCCAAAATAGCAATGCAGGTCCTGCCTTGAATGTATTTGACCCAAGCTTTCTTTCAGCCAGACAGGGTTTATTAGAACATCAGTCAAGGTGGGTGTGATTCGAAAAATCTACTTTTGGTCAGACTCTTAAGGAATCTGAGTGTTTGTAATGCCTGTATTGACAAGCTAGCCAGATTGAATCTGAACACCTTAATGGAGGGATCTTTTATACAGAAAACTGGGAACAGAGAAGGGGTCTAGAAAGAATTAAGGGTGGGAAGTGGCTGGGGGCACAGAAAATGAAGGGGTAGGCTAGGTTAGAGGTAACAGAGAATTGGGAGATTGGGCTAGGCCACAATAAAAGGACATTTGAGAGGATTACTGGGATGGGTCACTGCCTCAGGTGAATGCCAGAGACTTGACCATGTGGAAAGTCCAGGGCTTTTCAAAGATATGGTCTTTTGCTTTTAGGGGTTCAGATCCCATCCCCATCACCACCACTACCCCTGCCCCCCTTTCTATTTGAATTTGACACATTGCCCTAGAGCACTAAAAGGCTTGACCAGGGTCATATGTTTTATATGTGTCTGAGATTGGACTTGATCCCAGATCTTCCCAATTTTGAAGCTAACTTTCAATCCTTTATGTCACACTGCCGCTTTTTGAGTAAAAGGCAAGTTCTTTATGGCATTTTTCTAGTACCTCTGCTTTCCTTTCCCACTACATGCTAATTGGGGTCAGTAACTAGTAACTAGACAGTATACTCTAAGAAAACACTTTTTTTTTATTGATATCTTTTTTTTTACATCACAATCATTTCTAAATATACCATCGCCTATCCGTTACACAGGGAGTCATTTTCTGGAATGAAGGATAAAAAATTGAGAGAAAAATAATCAGCAAAACTAACCAATACATTGAACTTGGACAGCTCACTTTATAAAATTGCTGAACTCTACAATTATACAGGTAAGTATACTTCTATAAGAGGACCCAATAATTACTGAATTGACCCATCATATGAAATTCCCACCAGGACTTTTATCTTGTGGGGGATTGCAATCGTCTTTTTTAATACTTCTTCCTTTGTTCTGTCAGATTTTTACTTCATCCCTTTTCTGTTTTTCTCTTATTTTACCTTAGTGGCAAGAATCAAGACAGGGTGAATTCAGCATGCAGTGCAGGTGTCTTCAGGTCTAGTAGTGCCAAGTTTGTTACTTTCATCACTGACATACCATTTCATTGTCAATTAATTTTTGTTGCTGTATTGAAGAGCAGAGTAAGTGGGACTTTATGTTGGTGTTATTTATTAACAATGCTTTCCATGACTCAGAGGGTGGTGTGAGGAGATTAATGTTTCTATGGAAATTGTAGTTAGTAAACTACCTTGAGCTCTTGAGGGGAGTATCATCACTATGTAACCTCCCTATAGCTGTTAATTATAAACTATGATTAAGTGATTGTACCCAGGGTCACAGTAAATTGGAAATGGAGCTGGGAATAGAATCTAGACCTTCCAACCTTTCCTACTTGTATTCTCCTCACATTAAGCTTTATATGTCATTACATGGCTGTGGTATTGCTAAATTATAGCATTGATATAACAGAAGTATGAGGAAAGCTACAGACTATTTAAAAATGTTTCTTTATTGTGGTTTGTGATATGTGTTTGGCATCATCTTACTTGAGCCAGAAGTATATTGGTTTCTCATTGAAACTGGAAATCAGTTTTATATTTTTGCCTATGAATTTTTTATGTAATTAGCTATCTTAAATCCTTCCAGAAGCCACTAACTGTAGCACAGTAGGAAATGACTATGCTTCAATACTACTCACACACTAAATTTAGCATTTTCTTTAACTATGCATTTACAAAAAAAAACATTATTGTAAGAAAGGATCTATAGGTTTCCCTAGACTGCCAAAGGGGTCCATGATAAATCAAATGTTAAGAATCTCAGAGCTAAAGGCCATAGACCAGGGTAAAAAGAAAGCCCAGGAGAGGGAAATGCTTTCCCACCCCCTTTTTTTAATGAGGGTAAGGTGGCATTGATATTTTGGATTTTACTTTCTCTTTAAAATTTTGGGTTGCAAATTACAACCCCTTTGGAACAAATTTCTCCCAATTTCAGTGTACTAACAAAGTCACATAGATTAAAGATTAAGGAACGCAGCTTTTCCCCGCTTCTCTTTTTCTTTTCTTTCTCCATCACAGTCCTTTCCTTGAGGATCTACATTCTTTTGGGGAATCAGGAATTTTTTTTCCCCTATATATAGGAAATTTGAAGGTGATTTTTGAAGTAGGCCTGGCTTGTCTTGAGTATATGTTGGGTGTGGGCAGGGGGGAGGGAGATGGTTGCTTTATCCAATCTCTAACACTAGAACTTCAAGCAGTAGTAGAAGAATTATTTTGTGGTAGGTAGAGGATGTTCATAGCCTGTCAAAAAAATCACACTGAATGAATGATCCCTTTATGTGTATACCTGTAAGGTCAGTTCATGGTAAGTAAGTATGTATTAAATCACATATTGTTCTACCTGGAAGATACATTGGTGGTTATAGTCTACTCATCTCACACCATTTTATGGATGACTAAATTGATGCCTCAATTACACACACACACACATACACACACACACACACACATATATATTCCTCCTCCCCCCCACCAGGTACCTAAATAGAAGCAATGAATTGAGGCATCAATTTAGTAATCTTCTTGGTTACCTTTGTGACATGTTAATCTTTCTTGTCAAAACTAATCCATTGTGAGCCCTCTTAATAATTTAATCTGCAACCTGACATTAATGAAACCTGACTTAATCTAATTGTGATTGGGAATTTATGAAAAACCTTATAGAGTTGGTTTATAATGAATTGAGGGAGCTGTAAGAGTAGTTAGAAGGACTTGGTAAGGACCCTTAGAACCAATGATTGATTGATCAATATGGGACCAATTTTCAGATAAGACATATGGATTTCTTGATATGTACAATTGCGAGAAAACTTGCATCAGTCTTTGGATGGAGATAGTGTGGTTCACTTAATTCCCACTATTTACCACTTACTGTCTTTATTGCCTCAATCCATTCATTATAAACCAACTCTATAAGGTTTTTCATAAATTCCGAATCATAATTAGATTAAAAATAAACCAGGATCTCAAAGCTGAGATCAGAAACCAGAGTCTCAAAAACTAAGATGAGAAACAAAAGACTAAAGCAATACAATAATTATCATCAATGTTAACTAACATCAAGTATCCTTGTATCCTAGTAACCCATTCTCCATATCCATTTAACCAGCACATTTTGAGTCTCAGATGTCTCATGTAGTCATCTGGTAGCTAGATATCTTTTCTTGGACAATAAGTTTTATTCTCAGGACAGCTCTGAAGAAAACTCTATTTCTCTGGTTTCAAATCTAGAGGTTGCTAGATGATTTTGAACAATATAATCCAGTACAATCACTTAAATTTGGTTCTCCAATTTTGAAACTTCAGAGAATTTCAGTTGATGTACCATTTGCTGTTTCTGTCTTTACCGATCTTGTACCTGATTTAAGAATCTTTTAAAAATTATTATGAGGGTCCAACTGTAAAATAAGCTCTTCTGCTTTTTAAAATTATCAGATAGATATTTTAAAAATGGGAAAATAATTTCACTTTCTTCACCATTATCAATACAATTTATGTGTAAAATCCTTAATCCACTTTTGAGAACTCGTTATCAAAACATACTCAAAGCCTGAATTTTCATGATAGATAAATTTAGAAGATAGTCATATGCACATGTATATAGTTCTTAAATAAAACAGTCTAAGGGGCAGTTAAGTGGTGCAGTGGATAGAGCAACAGCCCTGGAGTCAGGAGGACCTGAGTTCAAATCTGGCCTCAGATATTTGACACTTACTAGCTGTGTGACCTGGGCAAGTCACTTAACCCCATTGCCTAGCAAAATAAATAAATAAATAAATAACTTTTTACCAGCCGAAAAAAGAAAAAGGATAACAAAGAAAACAGTGTTATCCTGTTGATTTTCTTAATATTTGCGGTTCTATTTATTCAGAAAACTTTTATGTTATATCTTTGTCTTATTACTTTGTCTAATCATTTCTCCCTTAGGAAGATAGCATCCCTGTATTATAATTTGGCCACAAATACAGGTTAAATTATAAGTTATTCATACTTGCATCCTATTATAGTAGCTCATAGATATTTCAGTATCAATCTATTTTTCAATAGATTTAGTATTGTACTTACAAACTTCTTACAGAAATTTGCTATAAAAGGAAAAGGAGGAATGTAGTTACAACAATGTCACATATCAAAACATGGGGAAAAACTCCCTTATCTCTGTTTTATTCCAGGCATGAGTCATATCTGACAACCAATTATGTAATCACAGAGTATTAAAAAGAAAAAAAAGCCCAAGATTAGCTATGTAGGGACTTATTTTCCTTTTCAGAAAGGAAATAATGCAATCAATAAATAGAGTCAGTAAGATACTATCTTAGGCCACGCCAAGGTCATCCCCAAAACTTTTCCCAGGCATAGACATCCACCTTTAGAAGTTCCCAGACCCCAGCACATGCCATTTTCTGCTATTGGCTTCATGAAAATTCAGACAACTATTTCTCTAATCAAAATTCAAAACAATAGTAAATTACAGTCCCAATAATTTTTACCTTAAATCGCAAAATTTCACTAACCACAACTTAGGGCTTGAATATTTTTCCTGATGTTTCCCAAACAGTTAACATTTCATTTATACTTTACTTATTAATTAAAACTAACCATATTCTGAGGCTTCAGATATACAGCAAATACCTGATAGATGACTCATCATTAATATATTGAAGCTACATTTTTAAACCATGCTATATACTTTCATAATACCCAAGAATTTTCAAATGAGAATTCATTATTATAGTAAAATTGTACTATCATTTTATAACAAAATATTTCTCATTAAATATTTAACAGTTTTCAAATATCTATTTTTGTCACATCCTTTTAAAATCCCAATTCATAACATAGCAGTCTCCAGAATAAAAGGCAAGTTTTCTCTAACACCATTTCTGTTACAATGGTCTCTCAAATTTCACAACAGAAGAGAATTTAGAAATACAATAACATAAACAATATCATGTATTTAAAATATGAAACAAAACTTCAGATGATGTCAAATCAGCTAATTGCATTGTTAAATTATCCCATATAAAAATCATTAATCTTATTACCTTTGGCATTTTTAAACCCACTTTAGATTTATAACAATTATGTTTAACTAAAGAAAGAATAATACTATAATTCTTAGCATATACCAGCCACTGTTTTAAGCAATGTACAATCAATATATCATTTTGATCCTCACAACAACCCTGAAAGATGAGTACTGTTATTATTTTTCTCTTCACAGGTCAGGAAATTGGGGCAAACAGAGATACGATAATTTGCTTGAGAGTAAGCATGTACCCAAAACCAGACTCCTCCACTAACAAGTCATGCAAACTTTGACAACTCACCTAAGACACCCAAATCATAGTTTCCTTGTATGTAAATCACAGTTGAATTTAATAATTTATAATATCCATACCAGATTATAATGGCCAAAGAACCAAAGTGCATTTTTTCTTCAGTCTCATTTGTTCTTTCTTCTTCCCACCCTACCCCTGACACACATCAAGACAGAATTATGAGGAACTTCAAAGGCTATCTAGTCCAAGATACTCTCAGAACAAACAAACCAAAATTCAACTGTCTAAAGTATCCCTGATAAGGAATACCTAGTTCTTCACTTACAGCCTATATTTGTTACACATCCTTTGTACTTAGCTCTGCCCTCTGGGGCCAAGCAGGGAAAGTTAAATCTTATTTCCAAAGGTTAGCGTGGTAAATACTTGAAGACATGTATCAAATCTTCCCCAAGTCATCTCTTTTCTAGGTCCAACATTTCTGATTCCTTCAAGTAATTCTCCCATGGCATGGTTGTCCAATACCTTGACCCTCCTGGATATCCTCCTGTGGATACAACTTTTCAATGCCTTTCCTAAGATGTAATTCCTAGAAATAAACACAAAACTTCTATTCTGAATCTTATTCCTTAGTTAATTAACCCTAAGCCAATTCTTTCCTTCCTTCCTTCCTTCCTTCCTTCCTTCCTTCCTTCCTTCCTTCCTTCCTTCCTTCCTTCCTCCCTTCCTTGTGTATGTGTGTTATATAGTTCTACTAGCTTTGTGTATTATGCAAAAATATGTATACACATATATAATAAGAATACAAATAAATATATGTGTTCACTCATTTATCTATTTATATTTGTTTGCACGCTGTCTCTGCCATTAGATTGTAAGCTCCTTGAGGGGAGGGACTGTCTTTTTGCCTCTTTTTCTATCCCCAGCACTTAGCATAACAACTGGAACATAGTAGACTTTTAATAAATGTTGATTGACTGATTGATATTCACATACACATGAACTTATTTTTTATAGATATGTCTTCATATGTTGAGGAAAAGTACAGTTTAAACTACTCTCTCTCTCTCTCTCTCTCTCTCTCTCTCTCTCTCTCTCTCTCCATGTGTCTATCTGTTTGTATGTGTATATATCATGAGAAAATTATTGCCTCTGCACTCAGATATATACAGAAAATGTGACAGAATGAAAAGAGATCTGGATTTGGAATTGTAAGATCTTAATTTGAGTTGCAGCTCTGCCACTTACTATTTCTGTGACCTTGAGCAAATCATTTAATTTCTCTTGGTCTCAGTTCATTAACTGGAAAATGAAATGGTTAGACTTAGATAATCTCTAATGTCCATTACAGGGGCAGCTAGGTGGGGCTCAGTGGATAGAATGCTGGGCCTGGAGTCAGGAAGATTCACCTTCCTAACTTCTAATCTGGCCTAGGACATTTATAAGCTGTGTGACCCTGGGCAAGTCACTTAATCCTGTTAGTCTCAATTCCTTCATCTGTAAAATGAGCTGGAGAAAGAAATGGCAAAACAGTGCAGTATCTTTTCCAAGAAAATCCCAAATGGAGTCAAGAGTCAGATATGACTGAAAAATGACTGAATTGCAAATGTCTCTTACAACTCCAAATCTTTGATCCTATTTTAAATGGATTCAACACTTATCAAGTATCTACTAGAATCATAGAATTTCAGAATCAGAAGGTACCTCAAGGCCATCTAGTCCAATTCCTTTGGACTTCCTTTTTCATTTGGCCAATTCTGGTTTTAAATCATTCTCCTCCTCCTTGGCTTTTTGGACCTCTTTTGCCATTTGGGTTAGGCTATTTTTTAAGGTGTTATTTTCTTCAGTATTTTTTTGGGTCTCCTTTATCAAACTGTTGACTTGTTTTCCGTGATTTTCTTTCATCACTCTCATTTCTCTTCCCAGTTTTTCCTGTACTTCTCTTACTTGCTTCTCAAAATCCTTTTGGAGCTCTTCCATGGCCTAGCACTGATTCATATTTTTCTTGGAGGCTTTGGATGTAGGAGCTTTGACTTTGTTGTCTTCTTCTGGTCATAGGTTTTGATCTTCTTTGTCATCAAAGAAAGATTCTATTGTCTGATTTTTTTTTAGCACAGTTTGCTCACGGTCCCAGCCAATTACTTGAGTTTTAAACTCTTTGTTAAGGTAAGGGTCTCTTTCCAGTGTGGAGAATGTACTGTCTCAAAGTTCAGGGGTTTTGTGCACCTGTTTTCAGAGATATTTCTAGGGACCTGTAAATTTTCAGTTCTTCCAAGGTGGTATGGTTAAGGGTGAGGTGTTTACTCTTTTCCTAGCCTGCACTCTGGTCAATGAATGACCACAAGCACTCTTTTCTCCCTTGGAACTGTGAGGAGGATTTACTCTATACCACCTCTATAAGCTCTACCATGCCCCATTCTTCCACAATGCAGAACCACCTTGTAGAATTGTGACACAGATCCAAGCACAGGCAAGGCAAGAGAGTCCTGCCTCAGCACCAGCAAGGAGATCCCTGCAATCCACCTCTGATCAGCCACTTGATTCCCCCTCAGTCTGTGGGCCAAGAGCTCTGGTAGTAGCTGCCACCCTGGGATTGGGGCTGGGACTGAGCTTCTCTCTCACCACAGTCACACACATTTCCTACTTACCTTCTAAGTTGTCTGACATTTGTGGGTTGAAACGTCTGGAAACCACCACAACTGCCCGTGATTCATTCCTCTGAGGCCTGCTCTATGTTTGCTGAGGCTTGGTCTTTGCCTGCGTGTCCCTGCTGAACTGTGCTCTTCTACCAGCCTTGCACAATAGACCTTTCTGAACAACCATTCAGGTTGTCTTGGGCTGGAAATTTGTTTCACTCTGTCTTCTTGTGTGTTCTGTTGCTATAGAATTTGTTTAGAGCCATTTTTTTTTTTACAGGTATTCAGAGGGGTTTGGAGGAGAGCTCAAGGAAGTCACTGATTTCACTCTGCCATCTTGGCTCTGCCTCAACAATCTGGTAAGAGCTGGTAAGAGCTGAGTCTAGCACATCCCTAGTCAGTCCTATATTTTAGGAAGATCAATTTGATAGCTGAGTAGAGGATAGGCTTGAGAAGAGAGAAACTTTAGGAAAGGAGAACAACCAGAAGGCTATCATAATATTCTAGGCATGAAGTTATCAGAGTTGGTTTAAGACTGTGTCAGTGTTGGAGGAGAGAAGGAGGCATATGTGAGAGATATCGTGAAGATAGAAATGACAGGACTTGACCACTGGTTGCATATCAGGGATTAGAAAAAATGAAATGTCAAGGATGACACCTAGGTTGTGAGCCTTGGTGACTAAGGGATGATTGTGGAGACTGTTGTTCATCCTTCCTTCCTGAATAGGACCAATGACATTATGGGTGATGAGTTAACTTGCATGTGAATTGGATTTCAGTGATGTAGAGTTGCACAAAGTCATCAGCCTCACTCTCTCTTCCTGAGTCATCAAAGTCTCACAGCAGGATGAAGGCCCAGAATGCAGTTTGTAACATTGGCATCTTCCATGCCTGACCAAGCTCTAAGTGCTTCATAGCTGCCTTCATGGTTGTTGGAACAAATTGTTCTCATCCACTCATTTCACAGGGGGAATGTGGATAGTGGTAGCTTTAGCAGTGATGGGGAAGTTAGGAGGAAGGGAGGATGTGGGGGAAAAGATGAGTTCAGTTTTGGACATGTTGAGATTAAGATGTCTATGGGATGTCCAGTTTAAGATACCTAAAAAGCTGTGTTGTGTTTAAAGTCTAGTGGGTAGTTCAGGGGAGTAGGTCTTATGACAGTGACTTCAAGTGACAAGATACTGGTCAGTTTAGCCTGGGCCATATTAGATTAGACTATTGAGGTCAAGAGGACAGGTAGTACTTGTGGGAAAGAAAGTTGGCAATATGAGATGTAAAGTTAGGGGTGAGGTTAGTTTCAATAAGTAGATTTAATAGTCATCTAAGTAGAGATGATAATTGAATCCATGGGAGTTGATGAAATTACTAACTGAAATAGAGAGGGAGAAGATGAGTACTGTAGTGTAGTACTGGAGATCGTTATCATGGATAACAGATAGCTAACTTGCTAAATTTACTAAGCCCATATTTTGTTAGAAACTGATAAGCACTGGGGATGCAAATGCAATCAAGAAGACAGACTTTACCTTTAAGGAGTTTACATTCTAATGGGGGAACACAACACATCAAGGAATGTTGAAAGGGAAGAAAGGAGGATATGTGGTGAGGAGAAGGCTGACAAGTATTGTGGAGGCCTGGCACTGGCAAAATGAGGTAAAAACTTACCTATCAGGGACAGGCTGTTGTGGGGTTGGGGGGAGAGCAGGGTAGAATTCAAGTTTCCAAAGATAAAAATGGTTAGAGAGTAGATAGCTTGATGTAGTTGCTTCTGAAGTGTTCTTGATTTCTGTGAGTACAAGATGGGAAAGGTTTGAAAAGAATAAATATCTGGAATGAAAAAGGATGTTCTCTTTCTTTTTTTCTTTCTTGTAATAGCAGAGGTTCTAAAGGGCACAATGAAAAGGGAGGGTGGAAGATGAAAATGACAGGACAGTGGCAGCGTTAAACTGAATGGAAATGAAATTCTAAGGAGTGGTTTCATGTGAAATTATTTTGCCTGGGTGCATGGTAAATCTGAGTCATGGGGATGAGAGGAATAAGAGATGCTTATTTTCTTGCAATAGGACTGAGGAAGTATGATCTCAGGATGATGGAGGGGTGATGTTGGTGTATCCTATGTACACACAAGGTACCTGGATGTGAAGTTGGGCCCAGAAGTTTGGGTCCCCAGAGAAAAGACCTAATCCATATGTGGCATTAGCTCTGTAGGCAAATCTCTGCATATTGGAGGATGAGTTATGCACAGAAAATTACACCTTTGAAACATTCACTTGGTTGTATCAAGATTTATCTCTTTAATATTTGTTCTGGTTTCTGTGGTCCAGGTCCTCTTAGCACTAGGCATGTTATGTCCAGATAGTACTAGCAGAGCTGTAACCAGGAGTATTTTTATTTGGTGCAAAGAAAATTGAATGGTGGTGGGGTGGCAGGGAGGGGCAGTGAGGAAGTGATAGATGGTGGTATATAGCTGAAGACTGATAATTCAATTGCAAGTGCAGTCATTTTAAGAGAGGGAACATTCAATTCCTCACCCCTCAGGAGTTGTGGGTAGTGTGTGGGAATATGTACTATTTCAGTTAACTCCAAGTAACAGGAGCCTGGTCAGAGTGGCCTGGGTTTGGTTATATCACATAATAGAGTGGACTATTGAGGTCAAGAGGTGAGGTACTAGTGGGATAGAAAGAATCTTCCTAGAGAGGAAAAATGCTTTCCTCTCCCCATCTTCACTTTATCTCAAGACACATATGCCCTTATACAAAGACCCAGACTTCTGGACTCCAGACATAGTGCCTAACTAAAGGACATCATTACAATATTTACTGAGCATATACTGTTTTCAGGGCAATGTAGAGGTTACAAAGATCAGTAAATGATGTCCCTAGTCCATGTTTTCAGTGAGTATGCAATTATATAAGTTTATTATATATATTATAATTATAATATGTATACATAATATTATAATTATATAAATTTATCAGTTATAAAATAATTTAATACAGCTTAGAAAGAGCTAAGTAACATGAAAGAAATGCAGAGTACTGCAGTTGTTTAAAGAAGAGTTAGATCTCATCTGACTTGATTCTAAATAACTTTTGATTTCCAGAAATCAAATCTATCTTTGGAGGATGACGTACTTCCAACATTGATAATGTTCACAAGAATGAGCCACCATCTTTGGTCACAATTCTCAAAAAGATGTCAACATACTTCAAACAATGATTTCATTATTTAAATAATTAGAATATTAATTTGTTTTGGAAACATATAATTTTTCAATAATTTGATAATATTTATCTATCCATATATATTCAATCTATTTATTCTCTCCCATTTATGTATCCCTATACGTTTATGAAGGTGTATGTATGTGTATAAGTATCTATGTATGTATGTATGTACATATATATGCATCTATCTATCTACCTATCTATACACATAGATTAGATAAGCAGAATGACACAGTTTATAGATTACTAGCCTTGGAGTTAGGAAGATCAGAATTCAAGTTCTGCTTTTGACACATACTCTCAGAATTTCCAAACATCTATTTAAGTCTATAAGCTTCTGACAATTAGCTATCTGCCTCAGTGAAGATATTTTCTATAATAGGGGGTCTCTTTTGATGTAATCACATATTATATACATGTATAATACATATACACATACATATATTTATACTTGAGTCTTGGCTGATTGTAGCAATGATAGTGTAAGGCAACCATCCAAACTGAACATCCTCTTCAAAGAGCTGAGAAGAAATATTAAGCCATGAAGCAAGGTCCTATACTTTATTCTTCATATCTCCACTGTATTTTGTACATAGTAGTCACTGAATAAATATGCGTTAATTGAATAAATAAATGGACTTAAATCTTCAAGAGGAGTAGTAGTGCCAAAAACCAATTTAGAGAGCAGTCAGTCAAAAAGCATTTATTAAGTGTTTATTATATGCTGGACACTGTGCTAAGTGCTGGAAATACAAATATGATAAAAAAAATTACTGACTTTAGAAACTTACATTCTAAAGGGAAAGACAACACATAAAAAGAAGCTAAAAAACGGGTGAGGGGTGATGAGAGAAAGTTACATGGAGCATGATGGAGAAAACTAGATGAGTGCCATCTGGTAAAAAATTAAGGGATTGTTGGCTTGGATACCCTGCTGAAATGGAGATTCTAGGAGGAAACTTCTGCCCACCTCCAATCAGATAGAGGAGCCCCAGGAGCAGAAGGCACTAATTAGGGTTTAGTTATAGAACAGAAATTATCTTCCTCTTTTTTCCTTATCTTTACCCCTACCTTTCTCACCTTCTACATTCCTTATTTCTGTTGAGGGTGACATCCTCCTCCTAGTACTTCAGGCTTAAGACCTCAAAGTTATCATTGACTGCACACTATCTCTTACCCTCCTGCTGCTGGATCTGCTTACCTCAAGAAGAGTTTCTGGGGTATGATGGAGGAGTGTTACCCTCTAGGAAATGAAGTGGGCAGCAGAGTCTTGCACTGGAACTCCTTTGTAGAAGAAGCAAGAGGCCATAGTTGTTCAGCAAGGAAGTCCAATTCACCATACATAGTTGATTGTGGTGATCTCTAAGGAGGTCCTTTCCAACCTTCATATTCCAATGTCTCTTGCTTTAGTGTTAGAAATTATACAGTTTAACAAATGATTGTTATGTTGATGGTAAAGCTAGTTGTGTGGTATTTTTTAAAGTATATTCTTAAAGCAACTTACTTTTTAATTGGGCAGGCTTTATTTTGAGGGGTTGGTTTTCCTAATTTTGTCTGTTCTTTTGCTTTGATTCTTTTTTTTGAATTTTAACTTTCTATGATGTTGCTGTTGGGAGGTAGAAATCTATTACTTCATACAGGATCATAGAATCTTGTGCTTTAGAGCTAGAAAGAAGCTTTTAATTCATCTGGTCCAATCCTTTCCTGCTATAGGTGAGGAAATAGAAGCACACAGAAGTTAATTTGCTTGCCCAAAGTTTTATAGGCATTAAATGGCAGACCTGGGATTTAAACTGAAGGCATCTAACTCTAAAGTCAGTACTCTTTTGCATTTTACCACATTATTTTTTTTTCCTTCAAGCATACCTAAAGCAGCACTTCATTTATTCACTTGTTTAACCATTATTTATTGAACACCTATTACACTATGGTAGATATAAAGATATATAATCTGAATCATAGCTTTATATTATAATATATATATATATTTATTATATATATATATGTATATATATATGTATATATATATATACATATATATATATATATATATATACACACACATAGGTGTTTATAATTCAACTGGAGAGACAAGATATTTTTGCAAATTGCTACAATCCAATGCAGCACATCATGTGTTATATAATAGGAATAGATAAATTCTATAATCGTTTAGAAGAAAGAGATCATTTACTCATAGCTGGGATGTTCTGGAAGGTTTCACAAAAATGAGATTTAAGTTGGGTCATGAAGAATTGGTAAGATTTTGATGGAGAAGAGAAAAGAGGGCATTTTCAGCTTAAGTGGCAGAATGAACAAAAATAAAAGTGCAGTGACCTAAAAGTCCAGGATTTTGCAAGAATGACAAAAAGTCTAGTTTGGATGAAATGAAGAATTCATGCTGAAAAGTGGGAGCAGATAGGGCTGGAAAGAGAGGGTATAGCCACATTGTGGAGGGCCTTGAATGCCAATCTAAAGGCTTCATTTTAAAGGTAGTGGGAAATTACTGTTGGTCTTAGAGCACAAAAGGCATATGATGAAAGCAAAGTTGTTGTGAGAATCAAATGAGATATTTGTAAAGTACAGTGTCTGATATATAGTAGTTGCTATATAAATGATACTACTACTACTACTACTACTACTACTACTACTACAACTACAACAAATAATAATAATATTTTCCCCATTTTACAGATGGAAAAACTGAGATACAGAAAGGTTAAGGAACTTGCTTAGGGCCATATAGCTGATGTGTTTGAGCAAGATTGGAACTCAGGTCTTCCTAACTTTAAATCCTCTGTTCTATTTGCATTATTCATTAGCTACTTATTTGTCTTTCAACTCTGTACCACCCTTATTCATTTGTCTTCTTAATTCAGTTAGTAAGAATGTAAACTAAGCGTCCCTTTCTTGGCTTGCAGTGGTACCTATTAGTGTGCCCTTGGTCTAGTTCTTTCCACATGACTGAAAGAAATATGGGAATCCTTTGGCTAAGCAAGAAGTCTGTACAGTATTGAATCAATTATTTAACAAGGAGAAGAGAAGAAAACATCTTGCTGTTTCTCCCCCTTTCCCTATTTCCCATCTCTCTGTCTCTCTCTCTCTCCATATCATCCCACCTCCCCAACATTCATCTATTTATCTGTCAACCACCCTCTAACTGTAGGTGTCCCTCAAGGCTTTGTCCTGTGCCCTTTTCTCTTCTTCCTCTTCTACACTACTTCACTTCATAATCACATCAATTCCTATGGACTTAATTTCTCTCCCTTTGCTGACATTTCTCAAATTTACTTATCTTGCCTCAACCTCTCTACTAACCTCTAATTTTGTATCTCCAACTGCCTTTCAGATATCTCCAGCTGGACATCCATCTTAAACTTAACATGTCCAAAACTGAACTCATTATCTTCCCCCCTACCTTTCTCACCTTCCACCTTCCTTATTTCTGTTGAGAACAACATCCTCCCTCTAGTACTTCAGGCTTATGACCTTAAAGTCATCATTGACTGCTCACTATTTCTCTCCCCACTGCTGGTGGATCTGCTTATCTCAACCTCTCCCCACTCCAGTCCATCCTCTATTCAGCCACTAAGGTGATTTTTCTAAAGCCCAAGTCCAATCAAGGAACCTTCACTACTCAATAAACTCCAGTGATTCCCTATTGCCTACAGAATCAAATATGAAATTCTCTGCTTGGCATTCAAAATCCTTTATAACCTTGGCCCCTCCTACCTTTCCAGTCTTCTTATACCTTAGTCCCTAACATGATGTCTGTCCCACCTTTATGAAATGCTAAGCACACTAAAAAGTAAAGTAAAAAGAGAAATGAACTTCAGATAGCATTAAATCATATTGTAGCATTAGGTAGTAAAATACCAGATGAAACATATTTTGGGAAATCAGTGGAAACTTCTCAAATATGCTAGAGGCTCTCTGCTGACAGGGTGCTCTCAGGTACAAGATTTATGAAATGTAAAACACAGGTAGTTCGACAAAGGCCAATATGCACCAGTTGTTAAAATTCATGAGAGTACTTGGGCATTTTAAAATGTGGGTTATGATATGGAGAATGTTATGAAGCTACAGTCTACCATTTACTGAAGTACTGGATCCAATTTTCACTGAAATTGGACACAGAAATATTAGGATCTTGGATGACCTAGAGCAGGGTGACACATGATGGGGGAAGCACTTAAATGGAAATGAGGGCTCATAAACCAGGATTCTGGAGGATGTTTAAAGGGAAACTCTGGAAGTGATTGGACACATGGAGTACTAAATGGCAGCTAAAGAGGAAAAAATGATCAGTCTTTTTTCAATGCCTTTATTTCAGAAAATTAGAAAGCAAGAAATTGAGAATACAGAAAAGAAATACTAGATTTAATGAGGAAATAAGCTCTAAAAGATGTTTCTATGGATATCATTTTGCAAACAACCGAACTCCACTTTGCAATTGTGCAAATCTTGCAATATATGGAAGTAAGCTGTGTAAGCTAAGGTGATATGGTGAGGGCAATGTTTTATTATATAGGCTAATCACCTCTGGAGTGAGAAATGAATTCTGCCCACCTCATCTCTGTGGGTTATTGCACTAGTTTCATTGAACTGCTGGGAGCTTTTCATCTCTTCTCTAAGGCTACCCAGTTATCTGCCACTGATGGAGATAGCAGATTAGTGAACATGCTTCTATAGCAGAGGTTAAGTCTATAAAATCTCTATAACAACAAGGCTTATATACAGCTCCTTACATAAAATATGTAGCTATGCCATTCTTGAGCTACAATAATGGAGCAATAGATAAGTGTTTCCATTTCATAGACTAATATGTTGATTTTATCACAAACTAAGCTTACTAATTTTTCAAAACCTCAAAGAATTCATTTCAAAATACCTTGGAAAATAAAGAAAATATTATTTTATAGCTTTTGCTGGCTACCTATACAAAATCACACTGAACTTCCAATATATATGCACAGTGTATCATCCTCTCGCTGAATTTGAACTGACAACTGGTGCATGCCTGTTTATGATTTGAAAGAATTGGTGTCCTGGAAGGGCATGAGAGAGATATTTTCTAACAAGGTCAAGGGAAAGGGAACAGATGGCTGATCTTGTTGAAAAGTTCATACCTTCTCCATGAGTATTGAGTTTTAGCCTCAAAGTGGAAATACACAATGCTAGGCAAACTTTGGGCAAATTTGCCAGTGCATGGCAATTATTTGATAATATTGATACATTGTGGGGGGGGGGAAGGGAAGCAACAACAATTAAGCACTGGATTTATGTATGTATGAAAACAAGTAGAGTTTTCTTGGTGAAGATACTAGAATGATTTGCCATTTCCTTCTCCAGCTCATTTTACATATGAAGAAACTGAGGAAAACAGGGTTAAGTGACTTGCCTAGGGTCACAAAGATGGTGAGTGTCTGCTGAATTGAACTCAGGTCTTCCTAAAACCAGGTCTAGTGCTCTATCCATTATGCTACCTAGCTACCCAATTTGTAATTTCAAGACAAAAAGCAATTATGTCAATTTGTGTGTATATGTTTTGTGTGTGTCTTCTGTTTCCTTTTCAGTAAACTTTCTGAAATGTAATATACATGTCTAAAAACTATGGCTTTTATATTAGTACACAAACCAGCATGCTGCAT